GGTACGGTCTCCTCGCCCGTGCGGCCGCTTCCTCCGCATGCGCAGTTCCTCCTGTCGGTGCGCCGTTCGCGCGTTCGCCGCGTGCAGGTTGGGTCGTGCGCTCCGCGGACCTTGGGCTGCGTCCGCGCCAACATTCCTCTGCCCACGCCCTGGCCTTCCAGACCGAGTGCGAGATCCTGCAGGAGAGCAGAGGGCAAGGGCCCTCTTCTAGTAACGACCCCCTGGCAGCCAGTACAGCTTGCCCTCGATTTCCCTTGTTTTTGGTGAAGAAGTGACTGGGTTAGGGTATGTTATTACCAATTTGTTATCTATTTGCCCAAATAGTGACTGGACTAGTACATACTTGTGCTACTTAATAGCAGACCTAGAGGTGAATTGTCGGTTTCTGCACACCCCCTACTGGGGATGTGCCCGCAACCAAGGTACATGCCCTTGACCGGAATCGAACCCGGGACCCTTCAGGCCGACGCTCTAGCTAGCCACTGAGCCAAACCGATTAGGGCGATATATATATTGATTTCAGAGAGGAAGGGAGAGGGAGAGAGATAGAAACATCCATGATAAGAGAGAATCATGATTGGTTGCCTCCTGCACACTCCCCTACTGGGGATTGAGCCTGCAACCGAGGCATGTGCCCTGACCGGGAATCAAGCTGTGACCTGCTGGTTCATAGGTTGACGCTCAACCACTGAGCCATGCCAGCTGGGCTAAGATATATTTTCTTGTATCATTAAAAGGTTTACAATAATAGTAACATCTTCATTTGAGTGCTTTCTGTGTGTCAGGTACTATGCTCACTAACCTCTTTATTTGAGTTATCATTTAATTCTCACAACAGTCCTCTAAAATAGGTTCTATTATTATCTGTACTTCATAGTTGAAGAAAATGAGAAATGGAAACCAACTTATTCAAGGTCACTAGGTTGCAAATCAGTGCATAATATGGAACAGTGTAGTGAACTGGAAGTCAGGAGATAATGCTTCAAGACTTACTATGTGCCCTATGCTGTGGCTGCAAATGCATTTGAGCAGAGTGCTCAGAAACAGCTTAGAGCCCAAGGTGGAGAGAGACACAAGGCATCAAATTTGTGTTTTAGGTGCTGGAATAGAGGTACAGACAAGGGTCAATGGGGCCAATCAGTGGTAAACCAAGTGGAGTTCTCAGTTCTAAGCATAAATACTTAAGTGGAAAGGAGGACCTGAATGGGTAATGGGTCTTTCAGCAAGGTAGGGCAGTTGAGTGAACAAGGGATTATAAAAACACTGGCATATTAAGTAAACTGACAGCGGATCAGTTTGGTTGATGTGGGTGCCTGCGAATTTGGGGAGAGTGCTAGAGAAGTGGAGTGGAGACACATAAGTGGTGAAATGAAGCTAGGAGGCTTGATGGTCAAAGGGTTTATGACATGATATAGAAGTTAGACTTTGTGAGTAGTGGAAAACCACAGACAAGTCCTAAGCCAGGGAATATGATCAACTTTACAGTTTTAGAGAGTGTCCTGTTAGATAGTGGGAAAAGTAGATTGAAGACAGCAAGCCTGTCACCAGGGATACCAGGTAAGATTAATGTAGTATTTTAGGAGAAGGGTATTAAGAGGACAAACTGAAGCAACAGTAGTAGGATGTAGAATTTGTGCCTCCCAAAAAAAGTATTAAGAAAGTAAAATTGATAAGGGAAGTCTGAAGGAGCTTCTATTAATGGGCCATAGCCTGCAGGTTAAAACAACAACAACACTGTCCTGAGGTCCTCTCTAGCCCAGTAGCTTTTATAGTCTGAAGGTTTACAGAGGGTCTTTTAAATCACAGGCTTGAAACCTCTGTGAAGTTGAGGACCAACATCCATCTTATTCACAGTTGCATTCCTGCTGAAGGATCCTGAAACATTTTAAAATAGCTATTACAGATCAAAAATTCAACTCTTTCCTTTCACTAATAGAATTAAATTCTGTCATCAGATATGAGAATAAAATTCAAGTTACCTCGCCTGATACAGGCAAAACTTTAAAAATAACCACATCAGAAGTTTTATGAAAAGCTGCTAAAGTTTAAACAATATGTGAGAAGATTTCAAATTCTTTAAGTTGGACAAGGCTTAGAAGAAATTATACCTGTGTTTTTCAATGTTTTTTAGTCACATGATATTTTTGAGTAGCTACACAAAATATTATTTTTATGAAAAAATGCTTGCTTTACTTACCTGATAGTAAAAAGTAGTGTTTATACAAGAACATAGATTGGAACATTTCAAGCCAAAAAGCACAACCAGCAGTGGATTGTTAAAAAGCCATGTCATGTCAGCTCTTTTTCCTGAGGTAGGATCTTGATTAAACAATCATAGCAACATACTTTCTCAGAGGAAGCTATTTTCACACTTAAGATTAGTTTTTTCTTAATTAAGACAATAATTTAAGTATTTATTTACTAGCCAAGAAGGAATGTATGTATGTATTTATTATTATTATATTTTTAAAATTATTGATCCCTACTAATGTTAGGTATTATTCTACGTCTTTTTAAAAAATATATTTTTATTGATTACAGAGAGGAAAGGAGAGGGAGAGAGAGATAGAAACATCAATGATGAGAGTGAATCATTGATCGGCTGCCTCCTGCACGCCCCCTACTGGAGATCAAGCCCGCAACCCAGGCATGTGCCCTTGACTGAAATCAAACCTGGGACCCTTCAGTCCGCAGGCCAACGCTCTATCCACTGAGCCAAACTAGCTAGGGCTAAGTCTTTTTTTTTCTTTTAAGTATATTTTTTATTGGTTTCAGAGAGGAAGGGAGAGGGAGAGAGAGAGATAGAAACATCAATGATGAGAGAGAATCATTGATCCACTGCCCCCTGCACACCCCTTACTGGGGGTCGAGCCCGCAACCAGTGCATGTGCCCTTGACTGGAATCAAACCCAGGACCTTTCAGTCTGCAGGCTGACATTCTATCCACTGAGCCAAACCAGGTAGGGTTGTATGTATTTTTTAAAAAAATATATTTTATTGACTTTTTACAGAGAGGAAAGGAGAGGGAGAGAGAGATAGAAACATCAATGATGAGAGAGAATCATTGATCCACTGCCCCCTGCACCCCCCTTACTGGGGGTCGAGCCCGCAACCAGTGCATGTGCCCTTGACTGGAATCAAACCCAGGACCTTTCAGTCTGCAGGCTGACATTCTATCCACTGAGCCAAACCGGTTAGGCTGTATTTTTTACAAAAGAATTTATTAACCAGATGAAATATGAGCAATTATTTGTTAACTATCCATGATAATACTTGTGTTTAAGTTTTGGAAATAGTAGATTTATTTTACATTGATAATGCAGTTTAGTTGGGAGCTATTGGTCTCTCTTTTGTTTTACCTACTGCTAAAATCCTATGAGTAAATGATGTGGCATACTTGAAGTCAATAATCATTTATGTCACATCATTTACTCATAGGATTTTAGCAGTAGGTAAAACAAAAGAGAGACCAATAGCTCCCAACTAAACTGCATTATCAATGTAAGATAAATCTACTATTTATTTTACATTGCCTACACATTACAATCACTTGGAGAATTTATAGCAAATATTGATGCCTGAGCCACACCCCAGAGAGTCTATTTAATTGGTCTTGGGTATCACATCAGTATTTTAAAAACAATTTTTAGGTGAATCTAATGTGTAACCAAAGTTGAAAACCATTGTTTTACTAATAAACCATTGTTTCACATACCTCAGAGGCCAATTAACAGTGTAGAAGAGTAGAATGACCATCTAGATTTAAAAATTGAAATTTTCTTTCTTTCTTTCTTTGTCTTTCTCATTGCAGGCTATATGCTTGTTGAGGGCAGGAACTATGTCTTATTTATCTTGATAACCTCACAGCCTAGCATAGAACTGGGCATATAGTCTCTTAATAACATATTTTGGAATAAAGGAACAAATAATAGGACTTGATAATTGTTTGGGCATGGGATGATTCAAATAGTGGAATCAAATATGTAACCTTTTTAAATTTACTTACTTATTGGGCACATGGAACCCTGAAGAGCAGTTGGGTCTTGGTTCTATAGCTCTCCTCTTCATAGAGACAGTCTTTGAGGGAGAGGGAAATATCCTGTGAGAGAAAAACACAAAGACCTTACTTAGACTTCAGCACACCTATGAATTATCAGGATATGAAAATCCTGAGAAGGGACAAAAGACACTCACCCTGCCCAAGTTTAATCAGCAGGGGTTATTGTACTGATTTTGTTCATGTTTTCTGGGGGCCACCTAATTTGAGCTCTCTATAAGTAGTATAGGCTATAAAAGCCAGTCGTCCTTGACTTTTTTTTAAACTGATGGGTTGGTATAAAGTTACACGGGAATATTGCCATTTGTATAGGCTATAAAAGCCAGTCGTCCTTGACTTTTTTTAAACTGATGGGTTGGTATAAAGTTACATGGGAATAGGAATATTGCCATTCTTTATTCTCGAGGGCACTGACTCTAGCACTCAGAAAGGTTTCATAAACTGGCTCTGAAGAAGTTTCCCCTAAACCTGCCACTTCTGTTGGTTATTTGATTATATCACTTACTAACATTTGGAGAGAACTTGGAATTATTAAGATGAAGAATTTTCCCTCTGCCCCAAACACAATATAAAAAAACTTTCCCGAAAATGGAAATGAACGGAATAGAAGCAAAATCTTTATTGCTATAGCTTAAAGACTAATGTTTTAGGTTTAAGAAGAGAAAATAAAATTAGATACATCACCCAAAAATGAATAGCAGGCTCATTGTGGCTCTTGCGGCGTAGATTAGGTTGGAGGTTCATTCCGTAGGTGGACGCCATAGTGCTTTGCTTGCCTTTGACTCACCTTCTCCATTGTTGCACTGTAGTATTCATATGTTGAGTATCAGTACACAGAGAGAACTAGTTCAAGGATAAAAGTTATCCAGTCATCAGTTGACAAAGTCATCCCAATAGTGAACAGCAAATATCCTAATATAAGGAGAATGATGAATTTATGGTGCTGAATCAAGGAATTCTCTGCATGCTGAATCTCTTGTGACGTGGTGTGTTAATTAAGGGTTCATGGGATCCCAGACATGGTGGATTTTTGTTGGTGGCAGGAACAAGAGAGAAAGAATTACAAATACCATTTAAAGGCTGACAAAAGAATTTCTTATTTTGGACGTCTTAATGCTAGGCTTAATCTAATAGAGGACAGCAGTTATTTAATTAAATATACGAAAAATAAATAAAATTTAAAAAACAAAAAATAAAAAATATATAAATAAATATATGCAATAAAGTTTTATTGATGTGACTATAGAGGTGGACACAAGTGGCAATATGAGAGAATGGATGGAGAGGTGACAGGGAATAAACAGGAATGGCCTCCTAGCAACATATAGGTTTAGTCCTAAGACATGACTGAGATATAGTAGGCAGAAGTGGGAGGCATATTCTAGCTTGACAAAATAGTAGTAAGCGTCAAGGCAGCATGGAGTGATGCGGGATCAATTACAGGGTGGGGCAAAAGTAGGCTCACAGTTGTTCATATGGAAAATAATACAATAATTAATAAATAGTAATACAAGAATAAACTCTGTGTTTTGCATACTCACATTGTAAACCCACTTTTGCCCCACACTGTATGGGTAGTGGCAAGTAACTTAGTATGGCCACGGTGAAAGCTGGGTTCTGTGAAGAAAGGAGACCTGTCAAAAAAGCCTACATATTACAAAGGTCTTCAGGACTGGCCCTTGAGCCCCTGGAATATGCTGCCTAATAAAAACATTTACATTTAATACTTAAGATTAACACTTTAGTCGAGAATGATGGATATGAGTGTCAACCTCTGAAACAGGAAATTATGATTCAATTCCTGGTCAGAGAACATGCCCTGGTTACTACTTGATCCCCAGTAGGGGGCGTGCAGGAGGCAGCTGGTCAATGATTCTCTCTCATCATTGATGTTTCTATCTCTCTCCCTCTCCCTTCCTCTCTGAAATCAGTAAAAAAAAGTAAAAAAGAAGGAAATGGAGACACTTAAATGAGAGTTCGCCATCTGTAATAAAGAGTCTGGCTCCATTTTAATAAAAAAAAAAAGAGATTTGTTGTTCCACTTATTTATGCATTCATTGGTTCAGTGTTTTTATTTATTTATTTTTATTTTATTTTATTTTTTATGGTTGAATACCACATGGCAGCATATTCAGTATTGCCAGAGCCACCTCTCACTGACACCAGAAAGGTGTTATCGGTCTCCCCCCAACCCCCCAGTCAGATAGGGCTGTCCCCAACCTCAATCCTTGTCTTCTCATATAAATGAATTTATTCGAGAGAACTTGAATTGTGATTAAGCCAGTTTATTAAATCAAGAAACATGATTAAAGAAGCAAATCTATACATCTGGCTTATGAAGCGCCTCCAGGCTCTCAGCTAATCTGAAGAGCAAGGTGGGTGGGGGTCCAAGGGGTTCTATATCCTCCTGTCTGTAGGTCTCAGAATTCCTCTGCTGGTATAGATTAAATTCTCAAGGTCTCATTCTACGTTCTGTGGCCTTTCCAGAATTCATGAGAAGCACCTGGCAATTTTACCTTGCCAATCCTTGACACTGCTGGCTTCTCTGCTTAGGGCAGTGGTTCTCAACCTTCTGGCCCTTTAAATACAGTTCCTCATGTTGTGACCCAACCATAAAATTATTTTCGTTGCTACTTCATAACTGTAATGTTGCTACTGTCATGAATCGTAATGTAGATATCTGATATGCAGGATGGTCTTAGGCGACCCCTGTGAAAGGGTCGTTCGATTGCCAAAGGGGTCGCGACCCACAGGTTGAGAACTGTTGGGGTCCAGCCCCAGCGGGTCCAAGGGTTCCCAAAGGTGTGGAGGGAGTTGGCAAAGAAGGAATGACACGGAGACAGCGTTCAGTTCGGTTCAGTGTTTTTAAATTTTTACAATTTATTAATTTGAGAGAGAAATATCAATTTGTTGTTCCACTTATTTATGCATTCATTGGGTAATGGCAATGCTTCTTATATGTGCCCTGCCTGGAGATCAAACCGGCAACTTTGGTGTATCAGGACAACACTAGCTAACTCAACTACCCGGCCAGAGCATTGTTTGATTCTTGTATGCGCCCTGATCGGGAATCGAACCTTGGTGCATCAAGACAACATTCTAACCAACTGAGCTACCTGGCCAGGGAAGATCATACAACCTTTTTTTTTAAAAAATATATTTTATTGATTTTTTACATAGAGGAAGGGAGAGGGACAGAGAGTCAGAAACATCGATGAGAGAGAAACGTCGATCAGCTCTCTCCTGCACACCTCCCACTGGGGATGTGCCTGCAACCAAGGCACATGCCCCTGAGCGGAATCGAACCTGGGACCCTTCAGTCTGCAGGCCGACGCTCTATCCACTGAGCCAAACCGGTTAGGGCCATACAACCTTTTAGAACTGGTAAATCTTTCACAATCGATGAGGAAGCTCTTAGTTACTTCTAATTTAACTATTGCCGGCATTTCAGGTATTTCCTCAGGGGTGTTCCACATAACACTCATTCCCAGAGAGCTGCTTCACAAATAGAACGTTTGGGAAATGCTACATAATCAATTCTCTGCAGGCTCTGGGAAATTTTGAATGAAGACTTTTACATGTTAAACTCACTGCTCCCCTAAAATCATCTGATTATTGAACCACTTTCCACCAAAGACCTCTTAAAGTTCTGCAGAACTCATGCCCTTGGGAACACATCTTCCAAATACCAGGTTTGAATACTCCAAATTGTTTCCACAGGGTGGGCACTACATTGTAAGATCATTCTTTGACTGCTGAATACCAAGAACCTACAACCAAGATTACTTTATCCAGCAAAGCTATCATTCAGAATTGAAGGTCAGATAAAGAGCTTCACAGATAAGGAAAAGCTAAAGGAGTTCATCACCACTAAACCAGTATTATACGAAATGCTGAAAGGTATCCTTTAAGAAGAGGAAGAAGAAAAAGGTAAAGATACAAATTGTGAACAACAAACATGCATCTATCAACAAGTGAATCTAAGAATCAAGTGAATAAATAATCTGATGTACAGAATGAACTGGTGATTATAATGAATCAGGGACATAGAAAGGGAATGGACTGACTATTCTTGGGGGGGAAAGGGGAATGGGAGATGCAGGAAGAGACTGGACAAAAATCGTGCACCTATGGATGAGGACAGTGGGTGGGGAGTGAGGGCAGAGGGTGGGGCGGGAACTGGGAGGAGGGGAGTTATGGGGGGGAAAAAAAGAGGAACAAATGTAATCTGAACAAGAAAGATTTAATAAAAAAAAAAAAGATCATTCTTTGACTATTTTAATAGAAAGCAGAGCAAGCTTTCCTATCTGGTGAACCAATAATTTTCTCTGGCATAAATTAAGGAAAAGATAGAAGATTCTATAATTCACACTGTAAAACTGAATGTGTAGTGGAAGAACTTTGTAATTGGACAGATCTGTGCTCGAGGACAGTGACAAAGAGCATGGGCACTGGGGCTGCACTAGCTGCACTGGGTTCAAGTCTTGCCTCTGCCACTTTCTAACCACATTATTTTGGGCAAGTTGCTTAGTCAAATTGCTTAATGATACAGTTCACATCTCTCACTCTGTAGAGGGGGATGACAACAATGGTGTTTACCTCATGAGGGTTATAATTACCCAGCACATCACAAGTGCTCAACAACTATTTCTCTTGTTACTTTGAATTTTATATTTATTAAATTGTTACAGAATTCCAACAAAGTCATTTTATTTTATTTCTCTTCACTCAGGGATATGCTTATTGATTTGAGAGAGAAAGGAAGGGGGGGCCGGGAGGGAGAGAGGGAGGGAGAGAGAGAGAGAGAGAGAGAGAGAGAGAGATACACCCATGTGAGAAAGAACATCAACCAGTTGCCCTTCACATGTGCGATTGGGTGATAGAACCTGCAACCCAGGTATGTGCCCTGACCAGAATTCTTGAAAATGCAGCTTCATTATTATCCCTTTCTCACCTTAATCTGTAGAGTAATGCCTGCTATTCTCAATAATGTTTGCTAATTTCCCAATCTGTTTTAAATGAAAATACTTTATTTGACCAGAACTCTCTTTATCTTTAAAAATTTTTTTTTAAAAAATTGATTTCAGAGAGGAAGGAAGAGGGAGAGAGAGATAGAAACATCAGTGATGAGGATCGAGCCCACAACCCAGGCATGTGCCCTGACCGGGAATTGAACAGTGATCTCCTGGTTCATAGGTTGATGCTCAAGCACTGAGCCACACTGGCCAGGCAGAACTCTCCTTATCTTTTAAAATGACTTTTTTAGGGGCCCTGGCTAGTGTGGTTCAGTTGGTTCAGAATACTTTGTTGCTTTCTGGAAGTACCCCTACTTCACTGATGGATAAAATCAAAGCACCCAAGGCTATTATTGGCTATTGATACTTAAAAACAGTGCCAAATCAGTGGTTCTCTCCCATCATTGGTGTTTCTCTCTCTTTTTCCCTCTTCCTTCCTCTCTGAAATTAATAAAAATATTTTTTTAAAGAGCCCTAGCCGGTTTGGCTCAGTGGATAAAGTGTCGATCTGCGGACTAAAGGGTCCCAGGTTTGATTCTGGTCAAGGACACATGCTCAGGTTGTGGGCTCGATCCCCAATGGGGAGTGTGCAGGAGGCAGCCAATCAATGATCCTCTCTCATCATTGATGTTTCTATCCTTCTCTCCCTCTCCCTTCTTCTCTGAAATTAATAAAAAATATATATAGTAAAAAAAAAACAAAAAACAGTGCCAAGAATTTGCCTTTGAGGAAGATCAGCAGAGGACACTGGTGGTCATTGGTGAAGCAGGTCTACCTGATAGTTGTGGTGACAACCTTGTAAGGCTTCAGAATGTCATTCCAAGATGTCCCTCTGTGGTATGCAGATTATTTTGAGCTAAAAACAACCAAGACCCTGGCGGTTCAAGAGAAACTCCACCCCCCTTCACTACCTAGGAGAATTTAAATTAGGGGCCTTTCCCATTAAAGTTATCACCAGAAAAAAAATTTTATGACCCAACAACAGGGCAGGGCAAAGTAATTACTGAATGAATATCTGTTCTTATTGTCCTACAATGAACCTTCCTCCCCTCTGAAGTCCCAAGTCACCTTACCTCAGCCTTAGCTGAGATGGTCTTATATACCTCATTTTCCTTTTTTGTCTCTGAACCTCTCATGTATGAGGGGTCCCTGACTCATGTGTGTCCATATGTATGTATGTAATGAAATTTGCTTTTCTCTTGTTCATCTTTCTCTTATAGATTTAATTATTAGGCCACTGAAAAGTGCTATAAGGTAGAGGAAAGGTTCCTCCCCCACAACCTCCTTATACCAGGCGGGCCAGGAATAGAGCAATTGGGATATCTTTCCTTTTTGATAAATTCAGAACATACATATTTTTAAAATCTCTGTACCTTTCTTCTAACTCATAAGAATAGTGATAGGCCATTGGGGGGCAAGCGGGGGGGAGAAGGAGACATATTAATACTTTCAACAATAAAGAATTAAAGAATAGTTATAGAAGCTAAATTTAAACATCATTTCAAACATTTCTAAAAAGCTCTCTGACCAGTTACAATACTGTATTTCTCAAATACATTTGAAGAATATCTTGAGGACTAACAGTCATTACAATGCTTCGATAAGTAGGAGGGATTTTAAGTCCACATGAAGGAGACTTTAACTTCAAGAGAAAAGTAAAAACACTTCTGAAGCATTTTATATGAAACTTCTATTTTATTTAGCTATTATGAAAAGTGGCTCTTTGGCAACAAATTAGAACACATTTCAGGAAACAGATATCCTCTAACCTTCAGAGCCAGATATCCTCTAACCTATTTCTTCAGAGAAGAAATGCAACACCCACCTTTTCTTCACCCCTCACCTTTTTTAAACGTTTGGAATCAACTATCACTGATTACAATAACAGGGATTTTTAGAGGGATTCATGTTTACAACTCAGATTCCCCCCCCCCCCCCCCCCAATTAAGCCTGTGATTTCTTTAAGTGGTGACAGATCTCGTTAATGGGGGCTGCAAGCAATGCTTGTTACTATAGGGCTGTGGTTCCCAACTGTCCATAGAATCAACCACCGGAAGAGCTTTTGAAACACAGATGCCTCTTATAGAGATTTGTGAAAATGTAAAACAATGCTACCTTTTCATTACATCTTTTTTTGTTGTTGTTCTGGAAAATATATGTATTTTTCATAAAAATATGTCATTCATGTTCATATGTAACAAGTTTATTGTGGCTATTTTTCAATGAATTAATAAATATTTTTAAATTAGAAAAAACACAGATGCCTCTGCCTGGCTCCAAACCACCTGCATAAGAATCTCTTGGGCTGAGGACCGGACATCAGGAGAAATAAAAAGCTCCCAGGTTATTCTAAAGCTCACCCAGAGTCAACAACTACTGTTGTCAACTAAGTAATTTGAAGGCAAATAATATGTATAAAATTAGAAAATAGCCCTAGCCGGTTTGGCTCACTGGATAGAGCGTCGGCCTGGGGACTGAAGAGTCCCGGGTTCGATTCCGGTCAAGGGCATGTACCTTGGTTGCGGGCACATCCCCCGTAGGGGGTGTGCAGGAGGCAGCTGATCGATGTTTCTCTCATCGATGTTTCTAACTCTCTATCCCTCTCCTTTCCTCTCTGTAAAAAATCAATAAAATATATATTTTTTAAAAATTAGAAAATAATACATGATTTTATTCTACCCTTTGTTTCAATTAGAAATTATAATTGCATCCTCGTTTGGTTTCACATGATGCTAATTTGATGCCAGTGTGACTTCTAAATGAAGGTTACTTCTACGCTATTGCATTGGTTCCCCAAGTGTAGTCCTCAACCAGTAGCAGCAGCAGCAGCACTTGGGAACTTGTTAGAAATGTAATGATCAAGCCCTACCTACGCCTATTGAACTGGGAGATAGGCCTAGCCATCAGTGTTGTGTTTGTTTGTTTAATATATTTTTTATTGATTTCAGAGAGAAAGGGAGAGGGAGAGAGAGATAGAAACATCAATGACCAATCATTAACCGGTTGCCTCCTGCACGCCCCCTGCTGAGGATCGAGCCCACACCCAGGCATGTGCCCTTGACCAGAATCGAACCAGGGACCCTTCATCCCCAGGCTGACGCTCTATCCACTGAGCCAAACTGGCTAGGGCACCATCAGTGTTTTAATAAGTACTCTAATGCCACCTGAAGTTTGGAAACTACTGAGCTATTGTATTACTTTAAATCTAGGGCTGCCAGGTACATAGATAGGGGTACCTAATAAAATATGGATTTCAGATAAACACTGAATAATTTTTAGTATGATTTTGTTCCAAGTATTGCCTAAGACATGCTTATATTTAAAAAAATTCATTGTTTAGCTGAAATTCATATTTAACTGGGCATACTGTATTTTTATTTCTTAACTTGTTAGACAATCTCTCCTACATAGCTTTTAAAAAATATTTATTTATTTAAAAATCTTTATTGTTGAAAGTATTACATATGTCCCTTTTTTCCCTCTAGCCCACCCCTGCACCCCTCTCCGACATAACTTTTCATTTTAGACCTGTAAGAAGATGAATGTCTCCTTTTTCGAATAAATGCTTTTTTTAAAAGAATTATTTTATTTATTGATTTTTAGAGAGAGGAAAGGGGAGAGAGAGAGAGACACATTGATTTGTTGTTCCACTTATTTATTCATTCATTGGTTGATTCTCGTATGTGCCCTGACTAGGGATCGAACCCACAACCTTGATATATGGGGACGACGCTCTAACCAACTGAGCTACTTAGTAGGGCCTTTTTTCTTTATGAAATAATTTCATAAAGAAATTTTGAAAAAAGATGACTAAATTGAAAGTTTCTGACTCTCTATCCCTCTCCCTTCCTCTCTGTAAAAAATCAATAAAATATATTAATAATTTCATAAAGAAATTTTGAAAAAAGATGACTAAATTGAAAGGGAAAAAAGAGAAAACATTCCATTCACTGAAAATGCAGTGTGAAAAAATACACTAAATATACACACTGTTGAGGCTTGTCAGACTGGTATCATGAGTAACATTAACTTGTAGATTTGAATTCTGAATAATTCAGAACAGTTTGAGTTTCGAGGAAGTATTCCCAGTTCGGTGGTGGCAAAACCAAATGCAAAAATGAAGTTTGCAACTGATTAAAAAAAAAAAGAAAAGAAAAAGAAAATCAAGGTATTTCCTATTTGAAAATTTTGTGGAGACATAGGGAGATAGTACATGCCTGATGTCTTTATTTTTATTAATTTTCACCGCTCACTGAAGAACTTCTGTGGGAAAAGGAGCTGATAGGTGAGGGAGGGAGGCTAAGAGTGGAGTTTGGAGGTGACAGGGAGGTGCCTGTCTCTTGACATTTAAAAAACATATTTTAAAAGACCTTTATGCCAAGAATTGTCCAGGTAATGATTTTTTTTTTAAAGAACAATCTTCTTTCTTAAAACATTTTTCTGATTAAAACATTTTTCTGATTAAAAAATTAATACTTATTCTTTGTAGAAAAATTATAGAAAAATACAAAGAACAACAATCAATGGAGAAAACTTACAATTTGTGAACAGCCTCTGTGGCTTTTTTCAATACTACATATACATGTAACAAATGTGGGGTATATTACTGTACTTGGTGTTTTTTTTTAATTTTTAAAAGTTTTTCTAAAAAATATATTTTTGTAACTTTCCGAGAGGAAGGGAGAGGGAGAGAAAGATAGAAACATCAATGATGAGAGAGAATCATTGATTGGCTGCCTCCTGCACGTCCCCTACTGGGGATCGAGCCCACAACCCAGGCATATGCCCTTGATCAGAATTGAACCCAGGACCCTTCAGTCCACAGGCCAACACTCTATCCACTAAGCCAAACCAGCTAGGGCTGTATTTGGTGTTTTAAAACCCAGTTTTTTGCCCCAAGAATATATTTGACTCATTTCTCAGATCATTAAAATTTTTTCCACATAATATTTAAAATTAAATTTACTAGGTAACATTGGTTAATAACATTATATGTTTCGGGTGTAAAATTTTATAATACTTCATCTGTATATTGCATTGTGTGCTCACCACCCAAAGTCTAGTCTCCTTCGGTCACCATATATTTCACCCGCTTTACTCTCTTCATCTTCCCTCCTACCTCCCTTCCCCTCTGTTAATCACCATACTGTTGTCTGTGTCTATGAGTTTGTTTAGTTTGTTTGTTACTTTCTATTTTATAGGATATTAATCATATGGTTCTTGTCCTTTTCTGTCTGACTTATTTCTCTTAGCATGGTACTCTCAAGATATATCCATGTTGTGGAAAACATTATTTCATCATTTTTTATGGCTGAGTAGTATTCTATTATATATGTGTGCCACACGTGAGTGTGTGTGTGTGTGTGTGTGTGTGTATGAATCCTCACCCAAGGGTATTTTTCCATTGCTTTTTTGAAAGAGTGGAGGAGAGGTTCGGAGGGGGAGGGAGAGAGAGAGAGACAGAAACACTGATGTGAGAGTGACACATCTATTGGTTGCCTCCCACATGCGCCCCAACTGAGACCGGGGATCAAACCTGCAACTAAAGTATGTGCCCTTGACCGGGGCTTAAACCCTTGACCAGGGCTCAAACCCTTGACCCTTCGGTGTTGGAGCCAAAAACTCTAACCACTGAGCAACACTGGCCAGGGCACGCCACATCTTTTTATGTAAAGTATGTGCCCTTGACCGGGGCTTAAACCCTTGACAAGGGCTCAAA